AGAGAGAAAGAATTTTTTTTTAATATTTATTTTTTAGTTCTCGGCGGACACAACATCTTTGTTGGTATGTGGTGCTGAGGATCGAACCCGGGCCGCACGCATACCAGGCGAGCGCGCTACCGCTTGAGCCACATCCCCAGCCCGGGTGTTGATTTTATATCCTGCTACTTTGCTGAATTCACTTACTAGTTCTGTGAGTTTTCTGGTGGAGTTTTTTGGGTCTTGTAGGTATAGAATCATATCGTCAGCAAATAGAGCTAATTTAAGTTCTTCTTTTCCTATACGAATCCCTTTAATTTATTTCATCTGTCAAATTGCTCTGGCCAGTGTTTCAAGAACTCTATTGAACAGGTGAAAGAGGGCATCCCTGTCTTGTTCCAGATTTTAGAGGGAATGCCTTCAATATTTCTCCATTTAGAATGATGTTGGCCTGAGGCTTAGCATAGATAGCCTTTACGATGTTGAGATATGTTCCTGTTATCCCTAGTTTTTCTAGTGTTTTGAACATAAAGGGATGCTATATTTTGTCAAATGCTTTTTCTGCATCTATTGAGATGATCATATGATTCTTTAAGTCTATTGATGTGATGAATTACATTTATTGATTTCAATATGTTGAACCAACCTTGCATCCCTGGGATGAATCCCACTTGATCATAGTGTACAATCTTTTTGATATATTTTTGTATTCGATTTGCCAGAATTAATTTATTGAAAATTTTTGCATCTATGTTCATTAGAGATATTGGTCTGAAGTTTTCTTTCTTTGAAGTATCTTTGTCTGGTTTTGCAATCAGGGTGATATTGGCCTCATAGAATGAATTTGGAAGTGCTTCCTCTTTTTCTGTTTCCTGAAATAAATTGAAGAGTATTGGTATTAGTTCTTCTTTAAAGGTCTTGTAGAATTTGGCTGTGTATCCATCCGGTCCTGGGCTCTTCTTGGTTGGTAATCTTTTGATGGCTTCTATTTCCTCACTTGATATTGGTCTGTTTAAGTTGGGTATATCTTCCTGACTCAATCTGAGCAGATCATATGACTTAATAAATTTGTCTATGCTTTCTTTCAGTTCACTTTATTGCTTTTTTAATAACTTTGAGTCAGGTATTTAAGTCACTTATTTTCCTTCTTTTTGTTCTCCAATAAAGGTATTTTTTAAAAAAATGTTTTTAGTTGTAGATGGACAAATGCCTTTATTTTATTTATTTATTTTTATGTGATGCAGGGGATTGAACCCAGTGCCTCACACATGCTAGGCAAATGCTCTATCACTGAGTTACAGCCCGCCAGTAAAGGTGTTTTATGGCTGTGAATTTTCTTCACTGAACTGGCTATATTCTTAGGTTTCTATGTGTAGTATTTCCTTATGGTTTTCTAGAAATTGGCAGTTCTGATTTGTAATTTTTAAAACCTCAGTCCAAAGTTTTGCTGTTGTTTTACAATGGAAAAGACCTTTATTTCTTGATTTTACTTTGAATTTATAATTTCAGTGCATTATCATCAGAGTATTTGATTGTCCTATTGTTGGTTTTTAGGTTAAGATTTTCTTTATGGTCTTACTTTTAAAATTCCTTTTTCTTGAACTAAAAAATTATTACAGGATTTTTTCTCTAATTATTAATTATTAACTACTAGTACATATATCCATCTAGAATTTGAAGATTTTAAAGCCAGTGCTTGGGCTGGGGTTGTAACTTAGTGATAGAGCACTTGCCTGGTACTTGTGAGGCACTGGGTTCTATCCTTGGCACCACATAAAAATAGATAAATAAAATAAAGGTATTTGTTTATTTACAACTAAATAAATAAATAAAATTTAAAAAAGAAAAAAGAAAGTACATGCAGTAATGTAAAATCATAACACCCAAATTAAAGATGTTATAGACTGATGCTATCTTATTAAAATAGATAATTTTTTTCTGAAGTGTGCCAAAATAATACATTTTTAAAAATATTTATTTCTTAGTTGTAGTTGGGCACAATAGCTTTATTTTTTTATATGTGGTGCTGAGAATCGAACCCAGGCCGTCGCATGTGCTTGGGCAAACGCTCTACCACTGAGCCACAACCCCAGCCCCCAAAATAATACATTTTCTGTGCAGAATTTCTATGCTACTACAAAGAATACTTTACAACTTAAACTGAAGATTTAATGAAAAATACAATGTTTAAATATTATGGATATACATGGGGAAAAAATTACATCTGTATTCATGAAATTTAAAAACTAACTTTGAAGTTTTGTTCAAAAATATGGGTTTTTTTATCTAGTGTATATATAACTGTTTTGGTTTTGGCTCCCAGTATCTGCAAACAATGTGGTATGGTATTAATTCATTTTAATTTGACAGATTTAGGAAAGAAGATACAGGGTGGGCTCTAAGGCCTCTTGATTCTTAAATGAAACCGGTATTAAATTTCTGAGTTTTTCTTTCACATTCTGAATGCTTACTGATGAGTGTTTTAAGATCTCAGAAAAAGATATTTATTGGAGACTCAATGAAAATTATTGTACCATACTCTAAAGATGCCAAAATACTGTTATTTTATTTTTCTTTTCTTTCTCTTTCTTCCTCTCTCTCTCTCTCTCTCTTTTTTTTTTTTTTTTTTTAGAATTCTGATTTGGCTGTTATCTTGAAATATAAGCCCTAAAAATGCCAACTTGTTCGGACTTAGAAGATGACCTGAATAAATGATAAAAATTGAGAAAGACATTTTGGTGAGTAAAATGTTATATAGGATAGTAGATAAAAGGCCCAAAGTAATGTTTATTCTTTTGTTTTTTCAGGTATTGCCTTTCTTTTTAGAGAAACTGTCTAAAATGCATTTTTTAATTTTTAGAACCACTGAATAAAATGCAAATGCCATTCTTCTGTTTGTATTTATTTTTTAATTATTTTTTCTGGTCTGGGGATTAAACCCAGAACCTACAGCATACTAGGCAAGCATTCTACCACTGAGCCATATCCCCAGCCTTCATTCTTCTGTTTTTAAGTAGCGTATCTACAAGAAACTTTTTAAATGTAGTTTCTCACCCTTTTATAAAGAATCACCTTGGATTTCACAGTAAATAATAACTGATGATTAAAATCTATCTTGATTAAAACTATAATAGATTTCAAACAAATATCTCTGATTAAAAATAGGATATATTGGGGCTGGGGATGTGGCTCAGGCAGTAGCGCGCTCACCTGGCATGCGTGCGGCCCGGGTTCAATCCTCAGCACCACATACCAACAAAGATGTTGTGTCCGCCGAAAACTAAATAATAAATATTTTTTAAAAAAATAAAAGCACTGTTTAAAAAAAATAGGATATATTTTTAATTCTCATTTGGGAGACTGAGCTGGGAGGATCAGTTTAACCCAGGAGTTCAAGACCAGCCTAGAAAACAGTGAGACCCCTGTTTCAAAAAAAAAAAAAAAAAAGAAAATAAATATATGTACGTGGAAAGTTGCAGACTAAATACAACCTATGTTTTAATGCTGTTTAGATTGGAGTTAAGCTGAAGCCCAGCAGAAATTAGACCATTTTTATCTTCAAACTTATAATTCATAATAAATTCTTCGAGTCTTCATTTGGATGCTATGTCATAATCGGTTTAACTGACATGGGAGATTCTTCAGAAATGCTTGCGGAGACTTGACAAATGACCATTTATTCATTTAATAAGTCTCTTAAGTCTCTTAATTTAGAAGAGTTGTTATCCACTTTTTCCTATAAGAGACTAAATCAAATGTCCTGTAGAAATCCTATACTCTCGATTTATCTGATTATTCCCTCATGGTGCTTTTTAAGTTCCTTCTTTATCTCCTATTAAAGACTTGTTAGATTAAGATTAAACACTTTTGGCAAGAATATTTTGTAGATAATTCAGTGCACTTAATACTGTTCATAATTTTTTGTTGTTTCTCTGTAAGACATGCTAAGGTTGATCATTGCATTCAGATGGTAACAGTCATGTCTTTACATTGTGGAGTTAGAGTTTTCCCTTTGCCAGCAGCGTGTGAATGTTTAGTTCTCTTTCAGTTTTTCATGTAATGTGTTATCCTTATTCATGATCCATTCTTGTATAAACATAATTGATTCCCTGGTGATTCCTTCATCAACTGGAGCTATTAGGTAACTCTAAAATTGTTTTTACTGCTAAGTTAAAATAAATATTATGATTGCCTTTTAAATTTTTCCTAAATATCACATTTGTTCTTAAATTCTTTATGAAAGATTAAAAGAGCCTGAGTAAAAAGTGAAATTATTAGGTAATCTGAAAATTTATTATGTGGATGAAAGCTGGTAGTCATTCTTAGCAAACCCAGACAATAACATATGCCTTCTTGTGACAGATGTCATAAGTGAGCAAATGATTCTCATGAAGCAGTCACCTACAGTTTGTTTTCTCTTTCCAAGAGCAGTTAACTGAATTACATTTCACTGAAAAGTTGTTCAGTTATTTTGATAGTAAATCCTTCATCGAGGGTCAGATTTTAAGTGGATATTATCTCAGTGACCACATTTTCTAGAAGTTTCCTTAAAAATTGAAGGAGAAGTCAACAGTTTTTTCATGGATTGTTTCAGTTTTCTTATTTTTATAATTACCTGTATACTGTTTTGGTGTTGTTGAACTGGTTATTCCTGAATTGTTGTATCTGTGTCTGCCAGTCAAGGGTTTTCCAAGTTGGGATACACAGCCTTCATGGAACAATCAGCAGCCTCATTAGATGACTATCAAAGTCAGATTTTTTAATTGGTCTCCCTCTTTCCAGCTAAAGATTCTTTTGGAAAATTTTCTTAAATTTTTAGTTATTTTCTTGGCAATTCCAACTTTGGAACAACTGCTAAGAAACTAACTTTTTAGACAGTTTCAGCCATTAGTCTTTTTACTGCCAAGCCATAGTTTTTAAGCCCTAAAAAATCTTCATTAGCGGGGCTGGGGATGTGGCTCAAGTGGTAGCGCGCTTGCTTGGCATGTGTGCCGCCCAAGTTCGATCCTCAGCACCACATACAAACAAAGATGTTGTGTCCGCCAAAAACTAAAAAAAAATAAAAGAAATATTAAAAATTTTTCTCTCTCTCTCAAAAAAAATCTTCCTTCATTAGCTTTCATTTATTTACCTTTAATCTAAAGTTTGTTAGAATTTGTAAAGTGCAGTTAAATAAAGAGTGGTAGTTTTTTATATAGGTATTTTCTGAATGCTGTTGTTTCTTAACCGCACCACACTGTTCTGTTCTGACAGTAACAATACAAGAAAAGGATATAATTACTAGATTATAAGGTGCTTTGCTCAAATGTACAAGTATTTTTTGCCTATTTGCTTAAACAACAGAAAAGTTTTTCCCCAAATATTGCTTAGGTTTTTGTTTCGTTTATTTTAAGTTGTCGATGGACCTTTATTTTATTTATATATATGTGGTGCTGAGAATTGAACCCAGTGCTTCACACATGCTGGGCAAGTGCTCTACCACTGAGCTATAACCCTAGCTGCTCTTAGGTTGGCTTTTTTTTTTAATATTTTTTTTTAGTTGTAGATGGATACACAATATCTTTATTTATTTTTATGTGGTGCTGAGGATGGAACCCAGTGCCCCACATATGTAAGGCAGATGCTTTACCACTGAGCTACAGCTACAGCCCCTAGGTTGGTTTTTAAAAAGCTTTTGCTTTTGAAGTTTAATCACTGTTTAATAAAAAAGAGTTAAGCAAGGTTTTTTAAATACTTTATCCTCTTTAATACATGTAGTATACAAATAACAACATAGTTTGACATTTCTTTCTTTTTTATTTTCAGTAATGGGCATCAAATTCATGAGTGCTCTACCACTGAGCTATATTCCCAGCCCTTTTTATTTTTTATTTTGATACAGGGTCTTGCTAAGTTGCCTAGATTGGCCTTGACTTTACATTCTCCTCCCTCAGCTTCCCCAGTAGCTGGGAGTATAGGTATGTGCTATTGACTTCAAGGTTTTCTTTTGTTATTGTTATTATTTTGGTTTTTTGGTGGTACTGGGGTTAAATGCTGGATGCCCTGCTACTAAGCTACTTCACCAGTCCCCTCCCGCTTTTATGTGGGTGCTAGGGATTGAACCCAGGGCCTCATGCAAGCTGGGCAAGCACTTTGCCACTGAGTTATATGCCCAGCCCCCCAGTCCTTATTTATTTATTTATTTTCAAAAAATTGTTCTAAGTTTAATTTTTAAACATTTTGCTTTTTTTTTTTTTTTTGGCAGGACTAGAAATTAAACCTTGAGCACTCTACCACTGAGCTATAACCCTACCCCTTTAATTTTTTTTTTTTTTGACACCTCATCTCACTAAGTTACTCAGGCTGGCATCAAGCTTTCAATCCTCCTGCCTCAGCCTACTAAGTAGTTGAGATTACAGATATCTATAGGCATACACCACCTCAATTTGCATTTCTTAGTGACTTTCAGCATACTTGGGAAATAGGAAATTTATCTGTGATCCTACCAATTTAATACAATCACTGTTTACATTTTAGGGTATTTTCAGTTCTTTTTTCTTATTTACTTTATTTAAAAGTTATATTTTAATAAGGAATTTTTTAACTAGAAAATTGGTGTGAGATTCTTATATACCCATGCTCTTCTTGCATAACGCAAATGCTGATGATTAATATTTATTCATTCACTTTGGTTAAAAATGGGATCTTCAATCCCAAAGCTAATAGAGGAAATTGCCATATGTGATTTTTAATATGCATACTGGTCAGCAACAAAACTGAAAATAGCAAAAAATGTAACTTCTTTAAATCTAAAAGTTAAAAGGTAATTAGGTCTGTCCAGGACATAATTCGTTGCTTCTATAAACATGTACTAACCACTTGTGCTCCTTTAATAAAAGCATTTAAAGATTTATTTTGTTGTTTCTGAATTATTACTTTCAGCCAAATCACTATTAATAACCCTTTAAGAGTTGTTTAAAACAATTTTTTTAGGAACTCCAGTGGTGCAGTCTATTAGCACTTGGTACTTTAAAAAACAGTCTTTGTAAAAGAATTCAGGAGTTTCAGTAATCACCCATATGCTTTCAGTTGGGTCTAGTTGTACTTTGCAGGTTGGAGAAAGAAGAGGGCTTTAGAAAGAAACCTTGGCTCCTCTAAGGCTGTTCTTTGGCATAGGAGCAACGGGAGTCTTTGGGGGCCACTTGTTCTATGTGGTCAACCAAAGGCTTATAAAAATTGATTCTCAGAAAGTTTCTATTTAATCCTTTGTACACTCCTCCTAATGTTCCAGGTTTACAAAAAGGTAGCAATGCAGCATTATAAAAGGGAAGTTTAAAAACTTGTTTATTTTTTTATTTCTGTTACTTCAAAGAACGAATTGTTTTAGCCAGGTGTGGTGCACACACCTATAATCCTATTTACTTGGGAGGCTGAAGCAGGATGATCAAGACTAGTCTGGGCAACTTAGTAAGACCCTGTCTCAATTAAAAATAAAAAGCACTGGAAATGTAGAGTAGAACCCCCTGGGTTCAATTCCCAATACTGGGGGAAAAAAAAAGAAAAATAATGAATAATTTTAGGATATCTTAATTAAATAGTTTAAGCTTTTCTTTAATTTCTTAATTTTATTATACTATAATACTGTCCTTATTTATCAAATAAATTACAGTTTTCACTAAACTATGAATTGTACATTCTAGAATATATAATTATGCTATGTAATACTCTTCTTATCCTTTCCCTTTTTCCAAGGTTTTCTTATTGTCTACTTGGCATATACTTCAAGAATAATATTCACCATGGTTTTGGACGACCTTCCTAACTTAGAAGACATCTATACTTCCTTGTGTTCATCAACAGTGGAAGACTCAGAGATGGAGTTTGACTCTGGACTAGAAGATGATGACACAAAAAGTGACAGTATTTTGGAGGATTCCACAATTTTTATGGCCTTCAAAGGAAATATAGATGATAAAGATTTCCAATGGAAATTAGATGCAATATTGAAGAATGTGCCCAATTTGTTACACATGGGTAATTTGTTTTAATGATTGTTTCCTTCTTTCCCTTCCATGGTGTTTTGAGTTTTACAAAGAAAGTTTTGCTAAACTAAGTTGAAAGGCTAATTTTAAGAACAAAATTAGGAATTTAGGAGTTTTTAAAAGCAGAAATGCTGTTGTGTTTCTTTTAGTGATAGCACTGACTTTCAAGACCCAAATTTATTTATTGTTTTTAATGCTTTGATCTCTTTCTTTACCTATAAGTTGACATGTTTAAACTGGATCTTTAAGGTCCTTTAAAGCTTAAAAAAATCCAGTATTCTCTGAATCTACTTTAAGTACTTAAAACATACTTATATTTTATTTTTTTTGTTTTTTGTTTTTTTTTCTTTTTTTAATTTTTAGTGGTTGTTCACAACATTACAAAGCTCTTGACATATCATATTTCATACATTAGATTGAAGTGGGTTATGAACTCCCAATTTTACCCCAAATCATACTTATATTTTAGATTAGAGATCACTGACAGCCTGTTGGATCCAGCCTTCAGACATATGTTGTATAGCCCACTTTAGTTTTTTGTTTGTTTGTTTGTTTGCTTTGTTTTTTTAATTTTGTTTTTAGTGTTTGAGTTTATCATCAGTGCTTTAGAAATTGAGATACATTACATTGGAACCCAATTTATCATTAAAAATGAGAAGGTCGGTAACATTGAGGTCTTCCCATTTCCCAGATGGTGTCAAGTAGCAGCTACTGCCAAGGGCACTTTGCCTCTCCACAGTTTCCATCTGGCCTCTTCACACATTTTGATAACTTGTCTGGGTCTAGTGGGCATTGTGTTTTTGAAACTTTGTTTATATGTTTACCATCTTTTCTAGTTAGCACCATTATCTAATCTCACCAGAGTGGAAAGCCTTTTCTCACAAATCTTAATTTGGTCATGTGCTAATTAGATTTTTCAGGTTTGGGGTGTTTTTCTTTGAGATTTGATGTTTGGAGGAAAGCCCTATTTTTTTCCAGGGCTTCTTTACTGTCTTCTACAAGGCTCTTGATAGTTAAGGATTACTTAGCACATATAGGAGAATTTCATGTATTGAAATTGCCTTTATTACCATCATTATAAGCATAATCATAGTCATACTATATGATATTATAAGGGCCTACCTAGACCTAAAATTGTTCATTGCTCTTAATTACCATTTTTGGTTGTTTATAAATTGCTCAATCAGTTATTATCAAATCTAAATTAACAGTTCTGCCAGATTATATTCTTGGTTTAAAAAATATTTTAAGGCCAGGTGTGGTGGTGCACACCTGTGACTCCAGCAGCTCCAGAGGCTGAGGCAGGAGGATCACAAGTTCAAGGCCATCCTCAGCAAATTAGGCATTATTATTGGGTTTTAGTTATTGTGAATAATGCTGCAGTGAACATGGGTGTAATATGTCTTTTCAAGACCCTGCTTTCATTCAGTTCTTTGGGCAGTATACTCAGTATACCATTTGTATGTTTTCTTTGGAGAAATGTCTATTCAAATCCTTAAGCCCTCCACTTTAAAAAAAATTTTTTTTATTGTAGATGGTCACAATAGTTTTATTTTAGTTTTATGTGGTGCTGAGGATTGAACCCAGTGCCTTCCACTTGTGAGGCAAGCACTTGACTACCGAGCTACAATCCCAGGCCCCTCATCTTTTTTTTTCTTTGCTTATTTGTATTGGGTTTTTGTTGTTGTTGAGTTTTAGGCTTTTTCTGTGTATTCTGGACTCTGGTCTTTTATTATATGATTTATAATTCTTCCCATCTGTTATTGCCTTTTTACTCATTTAATACTCAAAATTTTTGTGATGTTCAATTTTTTCTCTTTTTTTTCTTTTTTCTTTTGCCTTTAGTGTCATATCCAAAAAATCACTACAATCTAGTATTGTGAAGCTGTTGCCATGTATATTTTCTTCTAAGGGATTTAGGTCTTTTTTCCTTTTTGAGTTTATTTTTACATACACTGTAGATACAACTTCACTGTTTTGCATGTAGATAACCCTAGTTTTCCCAGTAGTCAGTTTTTGTATCTTCTTTTGAGAATATGTCCTGAAGTTTACATTGACTTTTTAGAAATACTATTATTCTGAAATGTAATGCTTTTCTATCTTAATTGAAGCTTAGTTGTCAAATTTGTGTTGCTTTTTTCCCCCACTCAATTTTGTGTGCTTCAGTATAGAAACTCTACTCTTTAGTTTTAAGTACAAAAAAAATTAAAACATCAAAGACATAAAGAATCAAGACTCAAGCTCTCCTTAAATTAAAGCATTTATAGGACATTGGAAGAATTCTTTGTTTGGCATCTATGAATACCTTGCATGTAGGTGCTCAATGAATATTTTAAGTTTTATATTAAAATTTCAGTATTTAATTTGGAGAGATAAAATTGCTTAACATTTTCAAAAATGTTAAATCTACTCTTTTTCCTTTTTAGTGTATTTCTTTATATAAATTTAGTAGATTATAGTTGCAGATTCCTTAATATTCTGTTGTTAGCATGTGTGGCACCCAATATTTTTAGAAAATTTCACTTGAAATTTGAGGCTTCCATGTTCTCAGGTTTTAAGTTCATATGCGTTAGGGTGAGTCCAGAAGTAGACATTACTTGATTATTTTAAACTTATCTCTCTCTCCTCTCCTATGTTTTTTACTTCATCTTATTCCTTTCTATTTATTCAGTACTTATAGTATGTCAGGTATTGTACTGGTTTTTTTGTATTTATTACCTCATGTGATACAATCATATGAATTAGTTTTTTTCCTAGATTTAGAAAAGAGAAAATTACATTTCAGAAAGGTTAAATAGCTTGTTACTGGTCACCTAGGTGCCAAATGGCAAAGTTGGAATTAGAGTTGAAGTCCACTTAATGCCAAAGCATTAGATGATTTAATCTCAGATGTTCCAAGCTGGTACCCTGCCTTTTTCTTTTCTTTTTTTCTTTCTTTCTTTCTTTTTGCTTGTTTGCTTGCTTTTTAGTTCCACATCTTCTATTGCCTGAAAAATCACTAATATTATTATTTTTTTTCTTTATGATAAAGAATCCAGCAAGCTAAAGGTACAGAAGGTGGAACCCTGGAACAGTGTGCGTGTGACATTCAACATCCCCCGGGAAGCAGCGGAGCGACTACGGATCCTGGCACAGAGCAACAACCAGCAGCTTCGGGATCTGGGGATTCTCTCCGTTCAGATTGAAGGTCTCTTACTTTGTCATGTGCCCATCTGGACCAAAACATAACAACAGTAGAATATAGCATGATTTCTAGTACTGCTTTGTCTATTCCCCTGCTCTTATGTTTTAGAATGCCAAGTAGCATCTCATGGCAGCACCTTAGTATAAAGAGACACCAAGGTTATTTCTTGGACCCAATGTTCTTCAGCATCTGTGGCCTCAGACTTCCATTTGTTTAATTTTGGCCATCAGTCTCAGACTGGGTTTTTTGTTTTTGCTTTGGGGTCTTTGTTTGTTTTTCTGCTTTGAAGATTGAACCCAGGGGTACTTTACCATTGCGCTACATCCCCAACCCTATTTTAAATTTTGTATTTTGACATAGGGTTTCACTAAGTTGCTTAGGGTCTTGCTAAATTGGTGAGGCTGGCTTTGAACTTGCAATCCTCTTGCTTTAGCCTCCCTATCACTGGTATTATAGGCAATTACTACCATGTCTGGCATTCAGCTTTTGGTATTACTAGTACCCTAACTAGGAACTCATTTGTCTTTTAAAGAATATCTATTTTTATTTGCTTCCTTCTGCCAAAACTTTAATGCTTTCTTTATTCATCTAACAGATTTGGAGGTCCTAAACAGTCCTTTTGTAGCAATGTCCATTTTCCAGATATTTTTACCGGAATAACCCTTTTCAAAATAAAAATATGCTCAACACAAACACCTGCTTATTCACCCAGCTTGAAATCCCACTATTGCTTGCTGTTGTTCAAAGAATGAAGACCAAACTTTTTTTTTATTATTATTAGCTACACATGACATTACAATGATCTTGACAATTCATACATTTGAATCAAATGGGGTATAATTTCTCATTTTTCTGATTGTACAGATTGCAGATCACACTGATCATAGAGTCACCTATATACATACAGCAATCATAATGTCTATTTTATTCTGCTGCCCTTCCTATCCCCCCTTCCCCTCCCCTCCCCTCCCT